GCGGGAGCGGAGGGGCCGTGCGGGGGCCGTGCGGGAGCGGAGGGGCCGTGCGGGGGCCGTGCGGGACCGGCCCCGCCGCCACCGCCCCCGGTACCCGCGGCCGCCCCCCCGGAGGAGCGGGCGGCCCGCCCGGAGCCCCTCACCCCCCAGCCCCGGCGTTCCCGGCAGCCGTGCCCCGCCGCGGGCAGCGGGACCTGCCGGGACTGCCGTGCCTGGATACTTCCCGAGGAAACGCTCTGTTTTTTCTTTTTCCTTTTTTTTTCCCCATCTAACAGATTCGTCCCTCCCTGCCCGGCCGGCCTGGTTTTCCTTTTCCTCTTTTATTTTCCCCTTTCCTTTCCCTCTCTCTCTCTCTTTTTTTTTTTTTCCAAGAGAATTTTCCACTTTTGCAATTATTGCTCTCGCCTTTGTAATTAGAGGAGAGGAGCAGCAGCGCTGTGAGGTGCTCTGCGAGCTCCCCTCTCCCCCAAAGCCCTGCCCTCCTGCAGGCGCAGACCGCCCCCCCTTTTCCCGGCCCGCGGCCGTGGGACCTCGCAGCCTCGGCCCTCGGCATGGACTTAGGCACCCTTTGAAGATTTCTCCTTTAAAATCCGCACAGGATTATTGTAACTAGCATTTTTTTTCTGCGTCTGCTTTTTTTTTTTTTTTCCTTCTCTCCCCACACTTTTTTTTTTAACTATTCCAAACAAAAAGAAAAAAATGGGCATAATATAAAAATGGTTAAAAAAAGAAAGGTAAGTAACTATTATACATGGCAAGGTGCGGGGTTTTTGTTTATTTTTCCTAATTAAAATAATTTTCACTTTTTTTTACATGATCTCGTGCCTGGGTATTGATTTGTGTTAAACAGCAGCGTTTGCTTCCCTTTCGTATTTTGTTAGGTGTCGAAAGCAGAAAGTGCTGAGTTAGAGACTCCAGTATCGTCTCGTTGTATTAATATCTGGGCTGCAAACTACCTTTTTTAATACCCAGAAAAATGCTTAAAGTCCTCTTGTCCAGTTCGGTCTGAAACTGAAGAGATACACAAATCCTGACGTCTTAGACTACAATGCTTTTGCCTTCAGGACACTTAATGCCTATTTGTATATGTAGAGACAGTGTTTGAAACCTATAATGCACAGGACACTGAGTTAAGTGGAGCTTTTCTAGTTTATAAACAATCTGCAAAAAGTTTGGAATCGATTTAACCTCTTTTATGTTGGCCTTTTGCATAAGGCGCAGGATAAAAAAAGGCTTTCTGGACCTCGCCGAAGTCTCTCTGAAACTGGAAGACGAATATACACCTTTCCGTACGAGAAAGCCTTTGATTATAAATATGGGAAAACTGTCATGCAACCAGACCAGCTCGAAAAGCCTTCAGAAAAGAACGGGGGGGGTGAAAGCTTAGCGCATCCTGACGGGCTTTTTAAATGCTATTGATTGGGACAAGCTGTTCAAAACCCCAGTAACAGTTAATCTGCCTGTTAATCAAGCCACTAAGGAGCTCAATGCGAGTTTTATTAGCAACTGGAGAACACAGGCAGCAGAAAGGATCAAAAGCCTACACCCTTGATATTTGTAAAACCAGCCTTTCCCAAAAATATATTTTCAATTACAGAGTAATTCGGAGCTTATCAGGGCTCGCTCGCAGCCCCACGCAGATGATTCCGCAGGCGCTGCCAAAGCCACGAATCCAAATGAACCAGCATCGCGCTGGCCCCGCCGAGGTGCGGGGGTTAAAAATAACGCGTTAAGGGGGGGGTCCAGCTCTCGCCTCTCTCCAGCCTCGGACTCTCCTGGCCTCCCGAATTAGCAGCAAAACCTAAACTTGGCAAACCACGAGGAACCGATAGAGAAACTCCTCGGATTCATGTCAATTGTGTTCTTAGGCTGAGGGGTCGAGGGCTCTTTTTCTTTAAGCTGGCATGTTTGATTTATCGCGGCAAGTTTGCAGGGCACGTTTCTCTCTGCCCATCCTTTCGGTGGAGCCTCTCATTTAATTGCTAAAAAAAAAGTTTAAATCGCAAGATTTGTAATTTGAAGAGCCTAAAAGTTGAATTTCAATTAATTTAACGATCAGGAATATTATTATATCGGCTAAAATCAACATTTGATCTTGTCATTTTTAATGCAAACCGATTCCTTTATATGTCAGCGAGATATGCATATAAAAGACTATCTGGTCAGAGGTAATTATGTCACAGCTTTTTCTCGGCATGACAGCTGGATAAACACCATCTCCAATAAACATCTCTAATTAGGGAGGAGGATCTGAGATAGATGGTGTTTGATTTATTACTGAAGGAGAATGTCCATTTACCGGTATATTATAGTGAAGCATCACAGGGAGCGTTCCCGCTAACGCACCGTAAGGAATATTTGGAGATGCTCGAAGACAGGTAAGCGGTGTTTTAGGTTTTACGCTCCTATTTTGTTTAGCGTTATTTCGGGGAAAGAACGGCCTTTCTACGGTACCTTTCTCTCCCACTGACGCCCTGATTTAGTAGAGGCACCCGGGGTTGGGAAGCCAAGCCTGAGTCTGGGGGCCAAGAGGTGGTCGCCTCTCGGCGACCGGACCATTCCAGCCCGGGTAGGGTGACAGAGCCTCCGCGGCGACCGGCGAGCCCCCGGCGTTAGGCGGGGAAAAGGGTGGCTGGGACGCGGCCCCCGACGGCAGCCCGGTTCGGCTCGGCTCTGCTCCTGCAGCCCCGCCGCCAGCCTGCCTTTCCGCGCCCCTCCGCGGAGGCGTCGCGCCGGACTCTCCGTGACCCGCTCCCATCCCGTCCATTCAGCCCGGGGGGCTGGAGCCCGAGCCCGAGCCGGCCGCTCCAGGGCCCGGGGGGCGCCGAGCGGGGTGCTCCGAGGGGCGCGGTAACCCGCGGCTGCCCCCGCCACCTGAGACGGGTCACGGCGAGGGAGCGGGGCCCGGGTCACGGGGCGGGGGGAAGGGGAGGGGGCTGCGCCGCCCGCGCAGGGGGGGAAGTTTGGGAAGCGGCTCGCACCGCCGGCCGCCCCCTCCGCCCCGCGGCGCCCCCTCCGACGGGCGGGCAGCGGCCGGAGCCGCTCCCTCCCACCCCTCCTCCCACCCCCACCTGTTGTGCGGGGCTCCGGCCCGCTCCCCTCGCCTTCCCCCCGCGGGGTGGGGGTGCCCGGGGTCCGGGTGACCGGCCCCTCCCGTCGGGCCGGCGGCCGGTGGCGGCCCGCGGTCGAGGCGAGCGTCCGGGGGCGGAGGGGGCGTGCGGGGACGTTACCTGTCAGCGGGCGCGGAGGGTCCGGGCGCGGCGGTCCCGCGGCCGGGAGGAGGTACCTGGCGGCTCCGGTCGCCAATTTCCACGCAAAGAACCTGCCACACAGTTTAAATGTCAATGACAGCAAAAGAGGGGTGCTGCCTTTGCACTAACTTTCCCTTAATATCGACGCCAGCGCCTCCCCCCATTGGCTGGGCCGCCCCGGTGACGTCACGGCGGACAGTAGTTCGCTAATGAGACATTTTGGGCGACACGAGCGCGAACGGCGCGAGCCCGGACACCGCCCGCCCCGTCGGCGGGCACGGCCCTGCACGGCACGGCCCCGCCCGGGGCCCCGCTCCGCCCGGGGCTCCGCGCCGGGGCTCGGCCGTCGGACGAGACTCCCTTGGACCGGGGGCTCCCTCGGGCAGCGGCGGGGTCGCTGCCTCCTCCCGCTGCCCACCGGCAACCGGGGGCTGCGGCCCGACGGCTCGCCCCAGCCGCAGCACCGCCGGCAGCCGGGCCTATCCCCGGCCTCTCAGGTCGAGGTTTGGGCTGAGGTTTGGCTTCTTCCCCTCTGAAAGGCGCTGCGAAGGAGGGACGCTCTCGCGCGGGTAAAGAGGCCCCGCAAAACCTGCCCCAACCCTCTGGCTCCTGGGAAACTCTGTGGCCCTCCAGCTCGCCCGCAGGTCTCCTGCTGGAAGGAGATGCCGGACCCTGCGAGACCTAAGGACAGGCCGCGGGACGGCCGGGACACGCGTGGGCCGCTCCGGCAGCCTCCCTGCGCCCTGGCAGCCTCTGCGGGTGAGCCGGGGCCCTGCGGGTCCTGCCCGGGCTCCCTGTCCGCACCCTCTCCCATTAGAGAGGGAGGGAGAGAGGCCCGTTATTTGCACACACTTGTCAGGGTAAATAATTCATCAGCAAAGAGTGGCCCCCCCGCAGCCGATAGTTTTATTGAACTGCACTTAAATGTTTCATGAACCTGCCGCCCGCCCGGGATGAGGCGGGGGCCGCCGGATCCATTAGGAGCGGGCTGTGGCGGGGGGTGCGGGGAGAGCGCTTTGAGGAGTGCGGGGGTACTCGCCCGGCCCCGGCCCCTGCTCCGGCTCTGCGGGCCGGGGTCAGGCGGGACCCCCCGGGGCAGGGATCCCGGGGAGCCCGCCCGGATCCCGGGTGACCCTGTCCCTTACAGGGCCAGGCCGCGTCGGCAGGTAGCGACGGCTCCGGGGGTGCTGCCAGGAAGGGGTTTCGCGGCGCGTTTGGAGCCGCTGCCATTAAGGGGCTTGCGGCTCCCTGCAACCCGGCAGGGTCCTCCAGGGAAGCGTTGGAAACACCACGGCTCCCGCCTGCTTATCTGGCTGTCAATAAAAGGAGATGGCTCCTAAAGCAGGGCCA